TCTGCCAATACAGGGGAACTTCCCCCGATGTCCACGCAATATTGCAGAGTTGTGTAAGCCAACACAACCCCACAACATCCAGAGCCTTAAGGAACTCCAGGCGAATCTCATCCACCCCTGGGGCCCTGCCACCGAGGAGCTTTTTAATCACCTCGGTGACCTCAGCACCAGAGATCAGAGAGCCTGACCCAGAGTCCCCAGGGTACGTTTCCTCAGTGGAAGACGTGCCAGCGGGATTGAGGAGGTCTTCGAAGTATTCTGCCCACTGACTCACGACATCCTGAGTTGAGGTCAGCAGCACACCACCTCCACTATAAACAGTGTTGGTGGCGTACCGCTTTCCCCCCCGAGATACAGGATGATGGACCAGAATCACCTTGAAGCCGTATGGAAGTCATTCTCCATGGCCTCTTGAACTCCTCCCACGCCCGAGTTTTTTCCTCAGCGACCACCCGAGCTGCATGCCGCTTGGACTGCCGGTACCCATCAGCTGCTTCCGGGGTCCCACAAACCAAAAAGGCCCGATAGGGCTCCTTCTTCAGCCTGACAGCATCTCTCACTGCCGGTGTCCACCACCGGGTTTGAGGGTTACCCCCACGACAGGCACCAACAACCTTGCAGCCACAGCTCCAATAAGCCGCCTCGACAATAGAGGCGTGGAACATGGCCCACTCGGACTCAATGTCCCCTGCCTCCCCCGGAACGTGTTCCAAGCTCCGTGTCACGGGAGACTCTGCCTGACATTCCCAGCAGACCCTCACAATACGTTTGGGTTTGCCAGGTCTCACCGTCATCCTCCCCCACCATCGGAGCCAACTCACCACCAGTAGTGGACAGCACTGCCTCTCCATTCACCCGAGTGTCCAAGACATGCGGCCACAGATCAGATGAGATGACAACAAAGTCGATCATCAAACTGCGGCCTAGGGTGTCCTGGTGCCAAGAACACATATGGATACCCTAATGCTTGAACATGGTGTTTGCTATGGACAATCCATGACAAGCACAGAAGTCCAATAAAAGAACACCACTCAGGTTCAGATCAGGGGGGCCATTCCTCCCAACCACACCCCTCCAGTTCTCACTGTCATTGCCCACGTAAGTGTTGAAGTCCCCCAGTAGAACAAGGGAGTCCCCAGGAGACACACTCTCCAGTACCCCATCCAAGGACTCCAAAAAGGATGGGTAATCTGAGCTGCTGTTTGGCACATAAGCACAAACAACAGTCAGAACCCGTCCCCCCACACGTAGGCAGAGGGAGGCTACCCTCTCATTCACTGGGGTGAACCCCAACGTACAGGCACCAAGATGAGGGGCAACAAGTATTCCCACTCCTGCTCGGCGCCTCTCGCCAGGGGCAACTCCAGAGTGGAAGAGTGTCCAACCCCTCTCAAGGAAACTGGTTCCAGAGCCAGAGCCATGTGTTGAGGTGTGTCTGACTATTTCTAGCCAGAACCTCTCAGCCTCACACACCAGCTCAGTCTCCTTCCCCACTAGTGAGGTGACATTCCACGTCCCAATAGCCAGCTTCTGTAGCTGAGGATCAGACCGCCAGGGCCCCCGTCCTCGGCCACCACCCATCCCACATTGCACCCGACCCCTTTGGCCCCTCCCACAGGTGGTGAGCCCACGGGAAGGGGGATCCATGTCTCCTCTTCAGGCTGTGCCCAGCCGAGCTCCATGGGTAAAAGCCCGGCCACCAGGCGCTCGCTAGCGTGCCCCACCTCCAGGCCCGGCTCCAGAGTGGGGCCCCAGTGACCCACGTCCGAGCGAGGGAACATTGTTTCCACTGATTTTGTTCATAATAAGGGGTCTTATAGTTCAGCCATAGATATTGTCCCAGAATTTGATGTGGTTGTATGAGTGTCATTCTTAACGCCTACTCCAAGTGCTGCAGATTTCTGTTCATTAACGTTTAGTGTCAGCCATGTTTGTAAGAAAAATATCTCATGTCTGGATTTATTTTAATGAAACCCCAGTAAGAAATTACTGGACGAACATCTACAATTTTTTACCTTTGGAGTCAGTCCAATTCAAGATGGCCCACCAATCGAACAAGAAAGTTCTAGCCAACAAGAAAACCATTACAAATCAATCAGTTTTGCAGATATTGAGCTAGAATTGAATGTGATCGTAGCCTAGAGTCATCCCCAACACATATCCTGAGCATGACATCTGTCAAGGTTTGACCAGAAGGGCTTCATCTCCTTCATTCTCCATCATAAGATGATCCCGGTGTAAAACTCTGGCGGGCGATATGCATTCCTTGAATGATTACACATGTCTTCACAGCCCTGGGGTCAGCCTCAGTGGGTATGTAAATATATCTCCCGTTGCAGCTGCAATCTGGATCACACGGGACCCTCTGGCGAGCCATGTCCTGGCTGTTCGCCTCCGTCTCCGCGTTGCGCAATGCGGCAATGCGGCTTTTCCGCCACAGCAGGGCTGACTGCTGGCTTCAGATAAAGACAAGGACATGAACACCCGCTCTGTTTGACACTGACGACTGTGGACAGCTGCGTCCGCGTGCGGCTCAGTGGATGCACAATGGTTCAGCCCTCGCTCTGACCCTTTTCGAGGGTAAATTAGAGATATAAATCTGGTATTTTATCCAAAGAGCGTGCACGCATATCTCATGTTCATAATGCCTATTTTAGCTCGTGTGCCGTGCCGGTGACGACCCAGTCTCCTGCAGCTCGGAGTGTAGCAGCGGATTAGAAGTGCTGCTGCTCCCCCCACACACAAGACGAGGAGATGCTCCTCTCCTCCTCCTCTCCTCCCTCCTCCCTCTGTTATTTGCGTTTTGCGCGGTCGGAGCAGCGACCTGTGAGTCTGAAACAGGTTGGAGCAGAGCAGGAAGGAGCACAAAGAGAGCCGTGCTGTTTCTCCTCGCGCTCAGGTGTGTATTGCTTGCAGCTGCCTTAGTTTTCTCCTCTTGTTTGATTTATTTATTTCTTTACCATGTTGTTGCAGACGGATGTGGCTGCTTAAATTAATTCTGGGTGTCTGATGCAAGTGAGCATTGTGTGGCAGACAAAGAGAAGAAGAAGCCACAAGTCCTCACGTTGTTTACACCTTGGGTGGAGATGTAATGTGGTACCTTTAAATTAATTTAATTGTTGTTTCACATATGATAATTAGACTCAATGAAATCAATACCATGTTCAGTTTCAGCACCAAAAGGAGTGGACATTTTTACTGAATGCTCCGACCACCGAACAAGGCCCATCACTTGGTTCTGCTTTTGTTTTTGTTTTGTTTTTTGTGTGTTTGAACGTTACAATTGGACTTTTTTCAGCCTGGAGACTTTGATCAACTTGTCTCCTTTAACATTAAAGTATTTGTTTATGAATTAGTTTAGATGCAACAGCTGTGAGCTATAATTCCAAAAATTATATCAAATAAATGTTAACTCTTCTAGGATTCTATTTTTTTTTAACTTGTCCAGAGGACCTGACTTAACTTTTTTAGATTTTTCTACCTGGATTATTGAGCATGCATCAGGATATATTCTAGTTTATATACAACCCATGATAAAATGCAATGTGATTGGTTACTTTGACACTTTAGTTACAAGTTAGTCTCATCTTGTTTGTGTTTAGTTGGTTATATAAAATCGTTTTATTGTTAACTGTGTAGTTGTTTGTCAGAGTCTGTAGAGTTTAATTATTTGCTCCTTGTCCATTTTCTGCTCTTCTCATTCCTGATTTTGTAGTTGCCACGTCTCTATTTGTGCCGTTGCCTCCCTTTGTATATCGTCCTTGTTTTCCTTTGTGTGAGGTTCTTGTGTGCTTGTCTGGTTTAGGCTTTGTCTTTGTTTTTTTAATGGCCTGGCAGTCTTTTATTTTATTTTTTTCAGAGTCCTAGTCTTTGAATACTTGCCTCCTGGGTGTGCTCTTTCCTGCACTTGAGCCCTTTCTTTCTTGTCGTTATTAAGGAAAAACATGACAAAGTTAAGGTTAAAACTGGGCTGTGACAGAAACTTTGGGTATTTGTCAATCTGCAGACCTTTTCCCCTGAAGTTGGAGAATGTTATTGTGTACTTAAAACTGTAATACTCGTTATAAAAATAAATCCACTAAAAGCTGTTTGAAAAGCAATTAAATCCTACAGTGCAAAGCTGCTTGTCTATAATAAATAACCTTTTAACAAGATGCCTCTTAATAATCAGTAGGTAAACTCATAATGATAAAAACTTACTCAAAACTTAGGTTTTCTTTTTGGCTTCTTCCATTTGCAGGAGTTGCCACAGTGAGCAAGCTTGCATGAAAGGTGCAGCAATTTTTTTTTAACTGCGAATGTCCCTTCTTGACACAATCTAGGCTCAAATCCACGCCCTCAGGACGAAGAGATCGCAACACTGACCACCAAGCTACCAAGGCCTCCTAAAACATCCTAAATAAATATATATTTTACAAAACAAAGCAGGATTGCTCCCCTTCAGGTTTCACTGGCGGTGATCGTGGTAAACTCTGAGAGTGTGTGTCATTTGTTTGACACTGGTGACTGTTTTCTGGATTTATAAGAAATTGTTCTTTTTCTGTGTTGAGTAGCTACAGTTGTGGAGTTTTTAGTAAACAAGTCAGACGGGCCACAGAGTGAACTTCCCTTCTGGGACGGGAGGAGTTTAAACCTTTTTGTTGCCCTTGTGGCTCCACCCTCTCAGTTAAGTGTGTTCTGCAGGCAGCAGAAATGAAAAACAAATCAAACGAAAAGAGAGAAAAACAGAAAACTGAGCGAGAAAGCAGCAGGTGGGGTGACATAACATGCACTGCAGAAAAACTGCAGCAGATTTGAAAGTAAGGGTCAAACTCACACTTAGCCAGGTCACAAACATATTTATGTTTGTCTTCCAAGTTCGCATTTATCACTTAAGGGTGTTGCTGAATTTCAGCTCAGTGTCTGTTGAGCCTATCAGATGAGCCCAAGCTACACACAGTACTTGTTTCCATGAATACAGCAGTGTTTACAGACTACCACTTCTCGCTTGTATTATACAGACACCCAGTTCAGGATGTCTATCTTGGAGCGTTTGGAGCAGATGGAGCAGAGGATGGCTGAAATAACCAATCAGAACCCTGGCTCAGAAGCCATGGCAACCAAGGGTGGAGGAGTTGAAGGGGGAGAAACCACTGAGCAGCGGTCTCAAGTAAGTCCATGATTCTGTCGGGGTGAAATTTTATTTTCCTTGTTACATGAAGTGTTTGGGAGGCGCAGCAGCCAAAGATGTGTGACTAAAAGAAATCAGTCAAGTCTTTAACACTGTGATCAGGTTAAAGGTTGTAAGATGGTAAGCAGAAAAGGCTTCACTATAAAATAAATAAATACAGTAACCATTGGCCATTTAATTTTTTACAAGTAATTTAGCAATATCTTGTGTCAAATAATTGTAACAGTTTGCAATCATTAATTAACTTTTTTTTTTTTTTTAAAACAAAGAAAAAATGTGTTGAAAGAAATTTCTTATGGTGTACATTATTTGGTTGACATTATATATTTGACTTGATTTGACCTTTTCTTGTTCATTTGTTTAGCTCTCCCCTGACCATGGCACATTTGAGGGTCGTGTTGTGGTTGTCTGTGAGAAGATGATGTCTCAGCCATGTTGGGCTTCTTCTAATCAGCTCGTCCACAGCAAGAACTCCAGAGGAATGACTTTACTGCATCTGGCTGCAGCTCAGGGTTACGCAGGACTCATTCAGACACTCATTCGCTGGCGGTGAATTCTCAGATATGAACACTCAGATATGACACATCGTGGTGAAGGCACAGACCAAGACAGTAATTTCACTTTTGTTGTCTTGTCCTGCAGCACAAAGCATGCTGACAGTATTGACCTTGAGCTGGAAGTGGATCCTTTGAATGTTGACCACTTCTCCTGCACGCCACTTGTGAGTAATTAATGCTTGAATCTAGTTGTTTCTGTATGTTTAATTTTTTCTGTGCGTATTACGTTTGTTTTGTCCTCCACAGATGTGGGCTTGTGCTCTGGGTCATACCGACGCAGCGCTGATTCTTTATCAGTGGGACCCAAGAGCACTTGCCATTCCTGATTCCTTGGGGCGTCTGCCGCTGAACATTGCCCGATCCCGCGGCCACACTCGATTGGCTGAGCTCCTGGAGCAGCTGCAGCAAAGTCCTCAAACTCAGGGCCAGTCTGCAGACAGTTGGATGGATAGATGGAGAGGAGGCTCACACATGGGTGGAATAAGCAACAACCCTACCACTAACTCAAACTCAGGTGCAGAAACATGTGGTTTGTTACCGGGGGGGGAGTTTTTTGTCTCAAGTTAAGCTGTCAGTTCACCAAAAACACAAAAATTAGTCACCCAGTTACTCCATGTGAATCATAGCTATAGTTTTATTTTTTCTTTGCTTGATGATTGGGTTTTATTTATGGGAAAACAAAACTTCTACCCAGATAAGAGAGTGGACTTCCATCACAGTGTTTAATGAATAATTGTTACATGGCTGGGGAGCCTCACTTTCACACTGGTAATTGAGCCATTGTGATTTAAATCTGTCTACCTGTTTATTTAGAGTGATATAAGTTATAAAATTAAAGGCAGCTTTTGACCAAGGCATCCTGAAACTTTATCTTTTATAACTTGTTTGTAAGAACATGCATTTTTGTTTTAATCGTGGTTTGTTGCATTTCCGCCAAAGTCTAGTGTACAGTCTTGGTTTGGCAAATCAAGTCTGCTGACATGTCTTGATCCTTCTCAGCACGTTGCTGCTGACATACTGCAGCTGCTGGACAGAGCAATTCAAAGGCAGTAAAACCAGGAAGTACACTACAGCCACTCTAACTCCACTGCAGATCCACTACTACTGTAAATTAGTTAATTTCCAGTTGTACAGCAGGACCAGTTGTTGTTGTATGCAAATGTCACTTCAGACTCAGTCATTCCTGCCGTTTTCACAGCATACACTTGTTCAGCTGCATCAGTGGCAGCAGGAAGAAGAGAAGAAGCTCCTGTCTGCAAATTAACGAAGGGATTTAACGTTTCAAAGTATCACTGTTTCACTGAGTTATATTTAGGAGCACAATTTGCATTACTTTCTATGTGTATGTGCAAAATCAACAATGTTTAAATAAAAAAGTTGCCACGTGCTCCCCAACAAGCTTGTCCTTTAAAAAAAAGACAGAGGCAGCACGCCTCCATTCTGGCACACACGGGTGGAGTTATAAAAGGAAGTAGGGGTGATGGAGGGAAAGTGAAGGACCCACAAAAAAGACCCTGGTTCCTGGCAAAGGTTCCTGCAGTCACAATTCTCATTAAATATACGTAAAATTGACGATGCATGCTTTCTGAGCTACTCTTTCACGTTGTTATCTTGGTATTCCCATGCTAGATGATTTTTTAAGGACTAAAAAACTGCTCACTGTATCACTTAGTGTTAGATAACTTTTCATTCTATCTTTATAGTTAATCCCATTAAGCCTCGGGGACTCATTTACAAGAGAGACCTGAAAAAAATTCTTACACATGATGACCCTTTTTAAGAGGGACTAGGCAGTGTAGTTAGGAAATCTGGTTTTGGAGGAATTATTATTGTCTTTGTAAGATTTTATCTTATTTTTCACTACCTTTGCCCTTCAGAGCTGAGGAGAAACAGAGCAGAGAGCCAAAAGGACAACCAGAACCAGAGCTGGAGCCAAACTGGACAAAGACCCCCACCAGCAACCCAGGGGGAACAGGGAGGACCTCCTCCAGCCAAGAGACTCAAATCTAGCCCAGCGAGCCAACAACAGCTAGCTAACTCGAACCCTGGAACCAACCCTGTCAACTCCCACCTCAATCCTCATCGTTCCCTCCTCAAATCTTCACAAACTCAACCCTCAAACTTTAGCTGTCCAAATGCACCTCTTTCCAGCTCCAGCTCCAACCGACCTCAGCCCCCCAGTGCCCCATTCTCCCACCTGCAGGCCAGGATAGGGGAGTCTGAAGGGGGCAACAGGTGGACCCTGAGACAGACTCTTGGGCAACTCAGTTTGGCTAGAAGGATTCAAGGGAAAGAACGATTGGCCATTCACCTGCGCCAAAGAGTGCTGTCTGACAGGGGGGAGGAGACGGAGCTGCTCACCTATCAGGACAACACAGAGGACCTACAGGTATGGAGACGCATCTTGATCCTGCTCTCATGTAAAGCAGCCATATGTTTGGTGTTAACTGTTTGAAAATTAAAGGCAAATCATGGAGTAACATAATGCACAAAATATTAGGAGGGACATTATTTTTAGCTTGATTGATCAATCACCCTGACATGAACCACTATTTTACACGCTGCAGGTGGACATTACGATGCTCGCTGATCACTTCATGGATGCTTCAAGTGATCGGTTTAAACAGGCTGTGGACACCGAGTCAGATGTTGGGAAGGTTGGGATAAGCAGTGATGTAAAGTCGCTGTCGGGTTACCTTGATGAGGTAGAGAGGTGAGTCAAAGATGTCTAAACGTCATTTTACTATGTTAGAACTCAACACGAACTCAAACACAATCATGTTTCCTCAGCTCTGTTATATTTATACTGAGTAAAGTAAATGCATACACAAAATGACTTTCTACCATTTATACAGGTTTCTAAAGTCCAAACCCCAGACTCCTAGCCCCGTACCAAATTCACTCTCAGGGCTGGAAGATCAGCAATGTCCTCGTGCTGACCAAGCCCCACCCTCCCCCTTTGATTGGAGCTCCTTCCTTTGTGCATCAATGAAACAGGAGAGGTTGAAAACAAACGCCTCCTGCCTAGCCATAACTGAGGCCGAGCAGCAGGAGCTGTATGAAACCATCAAACACGCTCTGCGCTTGCTCAGAAAACACAAAGTAAGTGTCACCTCCACTTCTGCCGAGCTGTGTCTCTCAATGCTGAACCTGCCTCCATGTTTAATGCTATTTATTTTGCACAAACCGCTGAAAAACCTCACTGTGATCATAATCCATTCCATATGTAAAATATTGAATTAAATTCTTGCTGACTTTCTTTCCAGGGTCCCATTCAGGAACAACACAAAGAGATTGCAGCAGTGGTTCAACGCTGCTACAAGAGATACAAGCAGGTGAGATCAGCAGGAAGGACCAACCGGCGTCCTGGAAACTGCATTATATCAAGAGTTCTGCTAAAAGTTGCCTAACTTTTACCTAACCTAACCTAGGCTACCTATCTTTATACAATTAGCAAGATATTTTAACTTAGTTAATTTAGTTAAAAAAATACATAAAGTGCAATAGTTTGTGCAGTATGCTAAAATTAATTTTGAGGAAAAATTAATGCACTTCATTTAAGTGAAAATAGGAATGAATCACATTTACCATTCATCTATTACTACTATTTTTTATTTAACTATGCGTTTTTAGTATAGTCTCTAAATGGTTTATTCAAAAAAATATATAAACAAAACTATAAATTGTGTTTTGCTGTAGTGAGTCTGTGGTCATGATGTGAGATTGGAGAAGAACAGAAAACTATAGATGATGGTAGACACTTCAAAATTAGCTTTCATAAGTTTTTCCAAAGTGTTTTTGCACTTTTAATTTCAAATCAATTCAGTTTATATAGCGTCGCGTCACAGCAGAAGTCAGGTCAGGGCACTGAACAAAAACATTCACATGCATAACAAAAACAGTAATAGTTATGTAAGGAAGCCAGCAGACTGTGTTGAATCTGCACTTCATCACAGTCTCCCATCCTGAGCGAGCACAGTGGCAACAGTGGAAAGGAAAAACTCCCTTTTAACAGGAAGAAACCTCCAGCAGCACCAGGCTCAGGACGAGCAGCTTTATGCATTTGTCATACTTTGATGTGAAGCAAATTTGTAATTTACACCAGAACTGTTTTTCTCGAACGAAGCTTGATGTTTGTTTTTTATAATTACAGTACATCAATATTATGAAAGGTTTATACATTATTATGGAAGTTTTAGTTTAATTTGATAATTTCACTTTGTAAAACTTTCAGTGCATTAAGAGCATTTAGTCAATTTGTTTCATATCTGCAGTTTTGGTAGTTTTGTGTTTTTTCTGCATCATTGTCTTCACAATAAGACTCTTGTTGTTGCAACCTACAGATATAAAACATGCTAAAAGCTTCACGTTGCCTCTGTCTTCTCTCGCAGTATGCACTTTATAAAAGGATGACCTTAGCTGCCATCCTGATCCAGAGTCGTTTCCGGAGTTTCCACGAACAGAGGAAGTTCCAGCAAAGTCGCAGAGCAGCGGTCCTCATCCAGCAATACTATCGCTCCTACAGGCACTCCCTAAGGTACCTTGCACACATACACGCACACACACACAAGTGGGAAACCTCTGGGACTGTGTGCAGTAAGTGATAAAAATGTCCATCACGTGTGCTTGCTTACAGCAGCCTCCTAACTAAAAAACAAAACCAGGCTGCTCGCAAGATCTTGAGGTTTCTGCTCCGCTGCCGCCACAGGTGAGACAAACTCTCAAACTCATCTACACACACAACTAAGGGCACACGATTAAACATGTGCTACACACGCTTACCGTCCGCTAACACACAACACACTACAGTGGTGCTAATAGCTGGTGTTGTTTTACTGTTCCTGTGAAGCCCCTTGATGGACCACAGGCCTCTGAAACAGGTGAGTCCCTCTCTTGCTCCCTCTCTCAGAGGCTGATGCCTGTTTGCATGACAGCAGAGGGAGAAGAGGAGGAGGAGTTCCTGGAATATCATCCTTCCCTCCTGCTCTTATCCTCAATCCCTATGTTGCTCTGAGAACTGCCAGTTGATCTCAGTAACTGCATGACTGACAAGTAGATGAGCAGTACTTGCATACGGCCTTCTTGGGGGCATGTTCTGACTGTTATCACTACGGGACTCTGAGGGTTGCTTGGCCTGCCATGTTTTTATTCTGCTCCTCGATGGGTGGGGAAGATAGGATTTGAGTGTGTGTTTTTATGTGAAGGATGGGGATCAAAGGTTTGTTGAATAACTGTTTCTTGTGTGGCCTTTGGGTGTAAACGTGAAAAAAAAAAGTCTTGTATTTCTGATTCTGTATCTAATGTAGTTTTGGTTCTCCACAGGGCCAGAGAGCAGAGAAAGGCCAGGGGTCGTGAGAGCCCATCATCAGGCCCTGCACACAGCCCGCTCAGCCTGTGAGCAATCTATACCTTCCCAGCCCTCTACCCTTTTCCATCCCCTCAACCCTCCCTTTCGTTTCCTTTTCCCAGTCCCTTCAATTTTCCTCTTCGCCCCTCTCTCACCCGCCCTGCCCTCTTCCCTCAAGAGGAAAAAAAACTCTTTCCAAACAGACTGAGGACAGGATAGGAGTCCATCATGGCAGCTCAGACAGACTGCTGGGCAGAGCCCAGGAGCCTGGCTCTGCCCACAGCACTGATTCTCCTCCACAGTTTAACTGGGAGGCCATCACATTAACCTCATGGCATTCTTTGCACTCTTCATGGGTATGTTTCTTTGCAAGAGCAAGTTGATGAGTCAGACAAGTAAAAAAAAAAAGACGAAGAAAATGGAGGAAGTGCCTGAAGACGGCGTCCTGCTGTTTAAAACAGCAGCTGGGTGTGCTGAACAACTCCGATGAGGAACAGCTGGCTCAAGAGAAATGCTACTTTGACATGCAGAAAATATACAATACCTGGCGTGTTTTGTATCCAAACAGAGATCTGTGAAAGAAAAAGAAAACATAAACCAAAAAACTCACTTCTATGTTGCATTTGCATGCAAGGTTTTTTCCGCTTATTCCTCCTCTCCATTATTCTGCAGAGCTATAGAGGCCAATCAGTCTGCTGATCCAGTATTTCACAATGTCACCAAGCACTCCGATCCACAGGCTTAAAAACCCATTAGTCACCCAATCAAAAAGGGGAGGAACTGCACTTGAATGTAAGAGGAGGATTGTTAGATAAGGGGGAGTGGTCTGAATAACGATGTCTTAATTTGCTACATGGACTTTGTATGAAATCGTTCTTAGAGGCAGCACTTTGCTCGCCTGATGTGGTGTGTCCGTGTTTGTTCAATTCGATGCATGTGTTTGAGCTATGAGCTCCTGCATGCTTGCCAAACTGCTTTAGTGTTGTTTCTTTTTTGTATTTCTATGTGTAATTGTGTCTCATGTCTTCATCAACCTATCCTTGCCCTGTGTAATGTGAACTGTGTAAGGACAAATGACTTATTTTGGGTGCTTTATTTAAATATTTATTTATTTATTTAATTAAGGGTCTAATTCTTTCTTTAACCGGCTCAAGAGTGGTTTAGCTTGAGACTGGTTTCCCCTTCCCCGTGTGATAAAATATGACATGTTCCAAGGGTTAAATGTCTCTGTTAGTTTGTTCTGCGTGAACCTCCAAATCCTAGGAGAGAGTCACAAACCATTGCCTTGACTTCTTCTTGACTCTGAGAGGTCTCTATGCTTGCTCTGTACAGGACGCGGGTCCTACAACTGCCCCTATAAAGGGCACTGGTCCCCATATTAGCCCATACGGGCGATCAAATCCATATTTTGGACTATTGCATATTTCTGTATATAAATTGACGAGGTAAGGGGCTACAAGGACCCTGAAACTTTTTCATAAGAGGACTGTATTTAAGATTATAAATTATTTTACTCCCATAACGAGAACTTTAGACAGAGACCTGGGTACACAGGACGGCTGTATTGCTTGTAAATACTGTAGATATTACAAACAAAGTAATGTGCATGAGATATAAGACAAAGAAACAGCTAAAAGAACACGGTAGTGGCTTTGGACTGTGAGAGGATTTTAACTGCTTCACTTTAAAAGTATCCAGCATTAAGTGTTACTGAAAAGAACGTTTTGTTAAAGCATGCAAACGAAAACTCTAATGTTAGACTTATAAGTGGGAAAACAAACCATGATCTTTCAGACTAAACATTTAAACTTTGTGCTTTTGTTTCATGGCTAGCAAAAATTAAAACCCTTTTTGCCAGTAGTGCCAATAAATATGAATGCTATTTTTTTGCCTAACAACACGGTATGTTATGTTGGGGAAACTAACACCCAAAGGTTATCAGTAAGATCCACAGAGGTACAGATGATAAAACAAAACTAGCACTAGTTCAGGCATAGACCTTCAAGTTCTGAAGTTTGTCCGAGGCAGACTTATTTATAGACAACGGTGGTATCAATGCACGTATTTTGAAAATAATGGCACTACTAGTAACGATGACTATAGAGTTTAAGTGTGAATGCGATGACAGGTATAAAAAAAGAGGGTGCTACATCCTTTACAATGTGGTTGTGTTTCAGCAACATCCTCACTTTTAATAGGACCATCAGTCAGACGTACAACAGATCCAGCCTGGCCTCCAGTCAAAGCTTTCCACCTTCTAACAGAATGTCTCCTACTCACTATTTATTTTGTTGATTTAATTTTATTTTTTGTGTGTGCGCGCGCGTTTGATTCTTTGTTTTTCACGTCATTGTCACTGCCATAAGTATATGATATGTATTTCAGACATCTGGAAAGCTGTATAGAAAGTGCCTGCTCAGCAACAGAAAACAAATATCAGGAAATATCTACTGTATATTCTCCAAGGCATTCCCAGTTATTTGTTTATTTTCCTAAATTACGTGTTCAAAATTAACTCGACAGTGTTGAACTTGAGCTAATTCTATGTTTGAAAGCTCTTAATTTGTCTGGTATGAATGGATGCTCATGGCCTAATTGATGCTATGTGTTGCTTTAGTTGACAAAACAAAAATGGCAGTATCACTGTACGCACCACCTTTGTGTGTATTTTGCAGTATTCGAGGAAGAAAACCATTGAATTTTGCTTCTGTGTTTGAGAGGCACTGTCACGAGTCTATTCACAGCATCGCTGTTGGGAGGACAATGAGTTTTGTCTCTCACTTTTTTTTAATTATCTCCCCCCCCAGCGATTAATTTTCCAACATTAAAATCACAGCATAACTCAGCAGACTAAAACTCTTTGATAAACCTTTTATTTCTCTGTCTTTTTCACAGACCCACACAGATGTGCTCGCACATGTAAACCCACACATACGGTGTCAAACACAACGATCATAGTCTCAAGTACTGGCCCACACTCTTTTGCTCGTGTTTTTGTGTTTGAAAACGCGATACGTTATCTTCCTTAGATTTACTCAGGGTTGACGAACAGGGAGACGGCATGTGGCGTGGGATAAGCTGCTGGCACATCTGGGGGCCGTGTACATTTGGGTACACAGTGTGTATGTATGTGCAAATAGTTAGAAATCGTACTGGTCATTCATTAACCATCTGCAGCTTTTCACGTGTTCAAGATTGACATAAATTGTTAAAAAAAAAAAAACGTTTTATTTAGCAAAGCAACAAATCTGTTGCTGTAAAAACAGATCCAGGATATAGGGAAAACTAAATATACCTCCAAAAAAATTATTTTATAGTCAAAAACTGGTCTGAATTAAAAAAAAAACTTAAATATATTCATACAATTGTTTCTTTTTTCAAATACACAAAATCCTTAAAGAGATGGTTTGGATTTTTCAAAGAGGGGTTCTGTGGAGAAGGTCTGAACAGTTAGCATGTTACCTTTTGTAGATGGCTCTTTGAAAGACCACGGTTTGTGGTGATTCTGGCAGAAATGACGAGCTGACAGTAGGACCACTTCCAATTTAATACATCTTTATGTTGCCAGCTGTTTTACATCACGTAGTTCCTTACATTGAATTACTTGATTATTTGGAAGCAAGCACAAATAGCAGCAGCCTGGGGGCACTTTAGGCAGGAATATTATAATATCTCTGCTGAAATAACTGTAAAATTAACTGGTAACATTTGTAAAATAAGATTTTTATAAAACCTGGAGATTGGAGGGGTTTGTGATGGCAGTTCACCATAATCTCGGCCCCAGCTCAGCTGTTTAATGAGCAATTTACAGGTACAATTTTAAATAATGTCACAGAACCCCACTTCACGAGATCGGACCTATCACTTTAATTTGATTTTTTTTTTTATTATTAGTATGAAATACGTGGCAAACTCTTCATCATTCTGAAGGAGTGGATATTGTGTTTTTGGATATTAATCAAACCAAGCGACTTTTAGTCAAGGAAAAATCATCCAGAACCACCAAAACTCTTACTGAAGCTGTTCTTCCTCAGACTCCAGCTGCTGTAAAGATGACTTTTTTTCTGAATATCGTTATATATTATGTTCACAAACAGGCACGCAAACATCTAAATGTTCATCCACGTATACAACACACAAAGTACTAACTCACAGTGCAGACAATTCATCTACGAGTTCATGTTTTGGAGAGGGTGGTGAATGTGGAAACGAGTATGTTTGTTCCGATTTTAAAAAAAGTAAGAATTGTTGCCATATAACAGGTGCGCAGAGATTACCTCTGTTCTCATAAGTCCGCTTAGAAATGAAATGTAGAACCTTTTGGGCCTTGTTTCAAGAGGGCGTGGCCAAACACCACATTGCATGCTAGAATGGTAGACCCTTATAGATAATCTAGACCTCTCCTTGCCTTCCTCCTCTTTCACCCTCGGTCTTCTCTCGCTCATCTCTGCTGCCTCGCCACCCTGCCTGCTGTTGTGTTCTCCATGCCGATCTCAGCCGCTCATTCCTCCTCTTTTCTTTTCTTTCTTTGTAGCCTAGTTTTGAACCTTTCTTTGTTTTACAAACATGCATGCACAAGCATCACTAACTTGTTGATGTTTTTAAAAAGAATATTTTGTTGCTGAGGCCATGCAAAAGTGTTTTGAATATTGCCCTTATATGTGGAATATGTCTTCTGAATGCTTTACATAATTTCTGCTGTAAAATGAAATCAGAATAAAAAGAAAATTTGCACTTTATTCTATTTTTTGACTGATATTTATTGCTTTATGAGGTTTTTTTTAATGTGTTTAAGCTTGCCTGATGAACAACTGACTGAGTGGTATGCCCCATTAAAACTTCCTATATTTATGATGTTTTATATATATATTTATTATATCTTGTACAATTGATGCATCTTTAAATACCTGAAATTTCAGAATTAAAACATTTCTTACTGTATCTAAATGTTCTGACACAAGTCAAGGTGAAGACAGGTGTGTCTTTGCTTATTTAAACTGTTGATTATTAAATCTTGGGACCACATCATTGTTCAAAATGGTAAACTGGCTGTTCTAAATACAAGCCCAGTTCTGAAAATGTTGCATCATTGAGCCAAATGTTAATGAAAACAAAATACAATGATGTGCAAATCTCATAATAAATTTTATTTCCAATTAAATAAAATAAACACAAGTTTAAATTAAAATCCTGCCATTTTAGGGAAAAATATAAAAATTTTCAATTTGATGGCAGCGACACGTTAAAGGCTGTAGTGGTAAAAATAAGAGACAGCTGGAAGTGGATTTTGCAACTAATTAGTTTGATTGACAACAGGTCAGTAAGAGGACTAAATATAAAAAGCACATTTTAGAGAAGATGAATCAGAAGTAAAGATGAAGATGGACAAAGGTTCAGCAGTCTGCAAAAAACTGCATCTTAAAATGGAACAATTTCAGAATAATGCTCTTGGATGGAAAATCTGAAAGATGTTAAATATTCCATCAGGTGCCATCGTCTGCACATCAGTTTATAATATTAAAAAAATGTAAGAATCTGGAGTGGTGCAGGAAGAACAACCTTCACATCATTGTGAAGAAGACGAAGGAGATGATTGTGGATTTCAGATGGAACAAGCCGCCCCTGAACATACTGTAGGAGGATGTGTGGTGGAAGTGGTCTCCAGCTACAAGTACTTGTGTGTGCACCTGAATGACAACCTCAGCTGGGACAACAACACCAGCCTGATCACGAAAGCTCATCAGAGACTCTACTTCCTCAGACGAGCTGGTCTGGGAAGCTCAGTCCTCACCTCCTTCTACAGGTGTGCAGTGGAGAGCATCCTGTGCTCCAGCATCAACGTGTGGCATGGAGGCTGCACAGCTGCAGAAAGAAAAGCTTTGCAGAGAGTAGTGAAGGCTGCACAGAAGATGTTGGAGTCAGTCTCCCCACCATCACAGACATCTACACCTCCAGATGCAGGAAGAGGACCACCTGCATCATGAAGAACCCCACTCACTTTCTGTGCATGTGTGGGATTTCTTCTGGTACTCCTGTTTCCTCCCACAGACCAAAAACATGCATGCTAGGCTGATGGTAATTCTAAATTATCCCTAGGTGTGAGAGAGAGTGAATGGTTGTTCGTCTCATTTGTCTCTATGTGTCCCTGTGATGGACTGGAGACCTGTCCAGGGTGTACCCCACCTCTTGTGATGGCTGGACATGGGCACCAGTGACCCCCACAACCTGAAAAGGAAGAAGTGGGTAAAGGTAATGAATGATCTGTATTCAAACAAACCAAAACATGATTTTATTTGTTTTAGGAAACACAAACCTCCACACTAAAGAGGAAAGAGACTATCTGGTTTGTTATCAGCATTTCAGTAAGACAACGTGATCCCACATACAGCTTCTGTTACTCCAGCATGGCTTCATAGTAGAAGAGTCAGGGTGCTGAACTGGCCTGACCACAGTCCACGAGTCCAGACCTCTCACCACTTGATGCACCATTTGTTGCATCATAAAACAGAAACGACCCAGGACTGGTGAACAACCCTACATCAGACCAAATGGTCATGTTCTCCAGCAGCTGGGCTCCTCAGGGTGTCCAGAGACTGTTGTTAAATGAAGAGGGGATGCTTCGGTGCTAAACATGATCCTGTCCCAACTTTGACATACAATACCCTTTTTACTATAACTGGTGCGATTCTGAAGTTTAAACACTTAAATTGTTTATATGTTGCACTGTGTCTAAAATATGAGTTTATGAGATGAGCAAATAATTGCATTGTGTTTTTATTTACATGTGTAGGCTTTGACCTACTATTGTTTTTTCTGTGTTTCTTTATTTTAAGCAATAAAAAAAATACAAGTAACTTTTCTTTTTAAACCAGTTTGGGTTTAAAATATCCTTTATGGGAGAAGTGTGATGAACACAAGCAGCTAAGAACGGCAGTTGCTGCAAAACACGTACAACTACAGTATTTGCATGTAAACATCATATCATGGTTACACACAAACACACACATGCACACAACTAACCATCACAACTAAACGCATTAAGAGCTAAATTAAAGAATATGTGCAGTCATCACATTAGTCATTATCATCGGGGGTTACACTGATACGTCAAAACATTTAGAGACAGATGTTTCCAAGTCTGCAACATGTCGACAGTAATTTACAAAACATTTTGATGAGCAGTCTTTTTAAGATTCAAATCTTGCAATAAAAAAATATATGTGGTAAATTTGATTTTATTCCCTGACAATCATCTTGAGATCTCAAACTTGATTTGACACAATGGGACTCGATCCCCACGTTGGGAATCACCAGTTTAGAAAATTCAGTGTCAATAAACAAAACAAGAAACAATAAAATAACGACTTTTCTTGTAACTGGGAATATAAAAAAAGTACTGATGTAAAGCAAGTTCTTGATCAATGCGTTTGTATTTTACCCCTTTTAAACAAGTCTCAAAACAGTAGCATTTTGACAAGGTCAGATAGGCTAAAAAGGTTAAATGATACTGCAACACTTTGTTACTAAAATTAATCTTAATAAAATAAAGCTGGCAAATACAATCAGTAAATAAGAATATTCCGTATATGTTTGAATAAATGTCACGAAATTCAAGATTAATTCCTTTTAACGCGTGTTAAATTGCAAATCAATGTTAATTAATGATCTTTATACAATTACAACATATGAAATAATAAACTTTTCTGAACTGAAAACAGTGACTGTATCTGTAAAATAGGAAAAATGTGATCCTATTCCAGATGAAACAGAGACTATTATTACTTCATGGCCTCATTTTGTGTATGTAAAACATTCAATTTTTTAAATGTATTTACTACATTTTAACTGAGGACATAAATCATCCAGCCCTTTCTGTCCAGGAGCCTTGTACTGGACTGAGAATAGAAATTTCCAATGCAGTCCGGAAAATTACCAAATTACGTCACGCCACTTTCTTTTTACCGTAAAATACGTTGTTCGCCTTTATGCGCAAAGTGTTCGTATCCACATAGAATTAGTAAAGCTTTAAAATCCACAGGTATTTTGCATAGTTTGAACGAAGGATTGATTTTACAGCTTTCGTTTTCCTATTTGTCCGTCTGTTAAACAAATACGTCTCGTTTATTCCATAACGCTCGAGCTAATCTCTAGGCTTTACGGTAATGAACGGAATTGACGTAAGACTCGCAGCTGATATAAGGACGTGGTTAGTTCCGGAGAAAAGTGCTTTTCTGTCTTCTACAGGAGACGGTTTTAGAAATGGATTCCATACTCTTTTAATTTTAACTTGTACGTATTTTGGAATTAGACATTTTAAGTGTAGTATTAAGATGAAACTTTTGTATATTTTTCTCTGGGAACTCGGCGCTGTTATGCGGACAAAGTCACCGTCGACTGAAGAAACAATGCGGGCCTAGCTAGCATGAGCTAGTGTTAGCCGAGGAGGCTAGTCGGAGAACTGGACTGAGGGGTTTAAGTCGCGGCCGAAGCAGCGAGTTCAAGCTGTTGAAACGTCAAATATCCAGTAAGTTACTGACGACCGTGGTAATTTTTGTTGTGATCCTCGCATTTGTGCCAGTTCTAGCTTTTATTCTCGTCGTCACGACAATGAAGTGTTTAACTTCAGGCCATCCTGAATCCGGAGTTAACGCGTTAGCAGTTAGCAGATTAGCGAGTTAAATAATCGTCTTTGTCGGTATCATGTTAAATGCTGCCTGTGGTCGATTTTATTTGATTTTTTTTGTACATGCCGACTGTCTTAAAAAAAAAAAGGCTGTCAGACGAATTTGTTACAATTTAAGTCTTAAAAGAATGCAACCAAACTACGTTTAAAAGCTATATAACTATGCGTTTTATTTAGGATTGCTCCAAAATAATCCAAATCTCTCCTGTGGGTATCCACTGTTGAGATTTACTTGTTTTATTTTATGTCGTCCTTAATCCCTGTAATAATCTGTGCCCCTGGTTTTCTTATGAAACGACAGTTCTTTGGTTTGATATTCACATCCCAGACGTTCAACTGTGACAGTGGGAGGTTTTTGCTGCAAGACACTAGTAATTACAATATTTTAGTGAAAAATCAATTCATAGTTTTTATTATGATGGGTAAGAAGTGCACTGATCAAGTCTGACAACATTAAATACCTTTTAGCAAAAAAACTAAGTTCTGTTTTGGATTAGCCCCAGATGTCATATCAGATTAACAGATTCTGTCGTTAATAGTTGATTCTTAAAATTTCTACAAAACTTTTGTTTTTTCTGGGTTTTCTTGAGTGCAGGCCTCTGTTATTGGAGAGTACAAAAGGTTCGGGGCATGTTGAGGTAGTAAATGTGTCATAAATGGGCCTCGTTCATGGCATGATTCAAGGTTTCCCTGCAGAACATTGTTGTAACAGGATGTTCAGTTTTATTAATTTCATGTCATTGGGCTTAACTGTTGGACAATCAAAATGTATTTACAAAGTTTATATTTGGATGTAGCGGTCAATCAATTTGAGTTTTTATGTCCTATGCTGATTTTTAGAAATCAGATCAATGGACATGTATTTAACAACACACAAGAAACTTGGACACGTAAACAATAATTTAAAAGTACTTTATTTTTCTTTAAAATAAACTGTGTGCTACATTGAGCTGGTTGTAGCAGCAACAGGAATGGCTGATTGCTGAATATTTATTTAAATGGCAAAATGTTAGCTGGATAAATTGGTTGGGCAGTTAATTGATCTACTATTAGTTTTAGTTTGATAACATTTTCTTATTTATTTTGTCTATTATTATTGTTATTTATTTTACAGAAATGAGTTCGCAGCTCCAAGTCTTCTCAACCCCCTCCGTCTCCTCCAGTGCCTTTTGTCGTGTCAAGAAGCTAAAGGTAGAGAGTAATGTTTGGGATGTATCCACCACAGAAGCGTACAGCTCCATAGCAGGCCAGTCGGCATACGCTTTTACCCCAGCCATGGCTGTGCCGTCCTTTGCACCATCCCTTGTCTTCCCTTCTGCTGCCTCTGGCACCAGAGGTCAAGTGGTGGTGCGTGCAGCCGATAGCACTGGGAGTCTTCCTCGTGGTTCCAGTCGACGCGTCACTGAGCATGCCACATCTTCCTCTTACAATCATGAGACGTCCTCTGAGACGAGGACCCAAAGGCATGGGCTGAAGAGAAAGGTTGAGGAAGCCAGTGAAGGCAGTGGGAGTGGATGTGGCAGTGTCCAGATATTAGAAGAGCTCTCCGCACCTGCAGCAACTTACTCCACTCGTACTGGCGGCGGTGGAGGAGGCGGCGGCGGCACAGGCCAGTCTATACCTCACTCGGCTCCGACCACCAAGAGCAGCAGCTCCAATGGAGAGGGGGATTATCAGCTTGTGCAACATGAGATCCTCTGCTCCATGTCCTCCAGCTATGAAGTCCTAGAGTTCTTAGGGAGGGGCACGTTTGGACAAGTGGCCAAGTGTTGGAAGAGGGGTACCAATGAGATTGTGGCAATCAAGATTCTGAAAAACCATCCTTCATATGCCCGTCAAGGCCAAATTGAGGTAACCAGTGATTTTATTTTTATAAATACTTACAAAGACCTTGTAGGATTAATTTCTGATGTTTTCATCTTGACAAATTTAACATGTCCCAGGTTACCTTTGCAGAATATAATTCAATTAGCTTCTCAAAGGCTCAGAACACAGCATTTGTTGCCATCAAGCTTTGCCAAATATAGTTTACTGAAAAATATCATTTTTGCTGGTGAATCCAGCACTTGTGCAGGGAAAACGAGGCACATGAATTTTAGCATATTGTGCGGCTAATGTTCATTATCCAAGCAGATGTTTCATTATTTAGTTGGTTAGGGATGTTAAATTACTATGACACTGCTTTGCATTTCAATTATTAGAAATGACAAACTACATAAACAAAGCTTACTGTTGCTGCAGAATTACTGTGGGTTTAAGTTGATTTGCATGCTTCAATACAAAACAGATGGAAGGAGCTTCCCCCCTCTTTTCTCTTCAGTTGTATTTATTATTTTTTTCATTTTAACAGGTGGGCATTTTGAACCGACTAAGTGCAGAAAATGCAGACGAGTATAATTTTGTACGCTCCTATGAATGCTTCCAACACAAAGGCCATACCTGCTTGGTGTTTGAGATGCTAGAGCAGAATCTGTATGATTTTCTGAAGCATAGCAAGTTCAGTCCGCTTCCTCTTCGACACATCAGACCCATCCTGCAGCAGGTTGGTGGATGGAGATCTCATTCTTGTCTTTGTTTTTTGTATTTCAGTCTGACTTATGTTTTTGTCTTCATGTCTGTAGGTGGCTACAGCCTTGATGAAACTTAAGAGCCTGGGATTGATTCATGCAGACCTAAAACCAGAAAATATCATGTTAGTTGACCCAATCAGACAACCCTACCGGGTGAAGGTTATTGATTTTGGCTCAGCAAGCCATGTGTCCAAAGCAGTTTGTTCAACTTACTTACAGTCTCGCTACTACAGGTATGTGGCTAAATAAACAACTACTGGTATTTGGTTTTGTGTTGTTAATTTTGATAGTTTAGTTTCCTCGTTAAAATTTCCTCATTTGTTGTCTAGGGCTCCAGAAATCATTTTGGGTCTGCCGTTCTGCGAGGCCATTGACATGTGGTCTTTGGGCTGTGTGATTGCTGAGCTGTTTTTGGGCTGGCCTCTCTACCCTGGAGCTTCTGAGTATGATCAGGTCAGTACAAATGATTGTTGTTCGTAAGTTTTACCTGATGCTCTGTGGGGGTGGGGTGTAATTTCAGGGAAAAATTAACATTCGAGTAATCTTGGATGTAAACCAGGAGATGGTTGTATATGGCAAAACAACCAAATGGATTCCTTAAAGTGACGTGAAACTCGTCTTTCTTGTGTCCAGATTCGTTACATTTCTCAGACTCAGGGTTTGCCAGCTGAGTACCTTCTGAGCGCCGGCACCAAGACCAGCCGCTTCTTTAACCGAGGTCCTGACTCCAGCTACCCTCTGTGGAGACTTAAGGTTAGTATAACGAACAGTAAATCCATTAGAACATTTACTATTTAGATGTTCTGATGGAGGCAGCTTTAAGAAATACATTTGTTCCATGTTCCATGTTTTGTTCCAAAAATGTTTATTTATGGAAGTTAATTAGATGTTTGTATTTTCTTTTCTTTTTTTATCAGACCCCAGCAGAGCATGAAATGGAGATGGGCATTAAATCAAAGGAGGCCAGGAAGTATATCTTCAACTGTCTGGATGACATGATGCAGGTAATGATTGCACAAACTCAAAATCTTGATTCTATTTAGTGATTTTTGTTGTTGTTGTTGTTGACAGTTTTGTTTGCTTGTCTTCCAGGTCAATCTGTCTTCTCACTTGGAGGGGACAGACATGCTGGCTGAGAAAGCTGACAGACGAGAGTTTATAGACCTCTTAAAGAGAATGCTTCGTTTGGATGCGGACAAAAGGATCACGCCTACAAAAACTCTGGGTCACCCCTTTGTCACCATGAGCCACCTCATGGATTATCCCCACAGTTCACAGTAAGTGGAATAAGGACAACAAAAGTTTGAATTATTATAAAAATGTTTTAAATATAGCTGCTAAAATGTTGTTGCTCAATCTTCTCCAGCGTGAAGTCATGTTTCCAGAACATGGAAATTTGCAAACGTCGAAGCTCGTATGACAGCAGCAAATCTCTGTACTCCACTAGTGCGGTCCCCAGCGCTGCAGCAGGAAACCTCACAGTTACCTTCAGTAGCCAACTTAACCAGCATAACCAGGTGTGTCTTTGGTTTCGTTTAGAAGATTTGACCTAAGAGTCGGTTGCAGCCGCACATAATTAACTTGTAGTCCTTCTTTTTGAGTTTTACCTCTTTTCCAAACAACTTTACGAAGGTACGATGGATGGTTAAAGCAATGAATATACCCATAAGCTGTCACTTGAAGTTAAGAAATTTGTTTGTATCTTTTGGGTCTTTCGTCAAGTTAATAAATCCTACGTAACGACTAGTTGGGCCAGTTGGTCTCCTGGAGTCCTTTAATGAGTTGTTTACTGCTTTGATTTGAGGAGTAAAAAGAACAATGCCTCAGTAAATTTGTTTGACCCCACATACACTTGTCACTGTTGCTCACTGAGCAACATATAAAAGTGTACAAAAAAATTGGACAAACAATTGACAAAATGACTCTGGCGTGCATTTTTCTCTTCATGGTTCTGCTGTTTATGGGCCTGTAATCTTGTTCCTGCTGATCAGTTCGGTTATCTTTACAGGTGCCTTCTGCAGGGGGTGCGGTGCCTTTGCTGAACTACCAGCCAGCTCTTTACCAGCAGGCGACCATCAACATTCCTGGGCTGGCTCAACAGGGCGTCCCGATTCCGACGCGTCCCGCTGGGCTGTGTGGCCAGACAGAACCTTTTCAGCAGACCCTCATCGTGTGCCCACCCTCTACTATTCAAGGTAAAGACACATTTGTTTTCCTTTTGTACTAGGGTCTAACACAATTTAAAACCCACCTGTGTTACTATAGCAAACGATGAAAAGCAGAGGATTTATAGAGGCACAGCTTTGTATACTTTAGGGTCAATTTTAATGAAAATGTTTTTTCCAGGGCTGCAATCATCCAATAAGAGTTCAAGTTTTCCAGTGAGGGTGGAGAACTCTGTTCCCATTGTACCTCAGAACCAGTCTGCTCAGTCGCTGCAGATCCAGCCAAGTATGCTCACGCAGGTAAGAGTGATTCAGGCGCGTCATTGTAGTTCTCTAAAACCAGTTTATTTGTTGGCATGCATGAATACAGATTAGTTGCCCATTTTCGTTTTGAGTGCCATTGCTGTGACTGTGGTGTCAACACTGGCTGTACCAAACAATGTTGCTGGTTTTGTGTTCACAAGAATTGAATCTCGACTCTGAATCTTGAGTCAGAGTTTCAAACTGATCAGTACAGTGGCAGCACGTTCACATATACTTCTGTAGATTTTATTTATTTTTTACTGAAGCCTAGCAGGCTCACGCTTTTCAGGTACAGATCAGGAAGAGATTTTTGCAACGTATTACCGTAGTAATAATAAAATAGATGCCGATCAAATTATAGGAGCAGCTAGTTTGACCAAATTTCTGTTGCAGCAGATTGAACATCAGTTTCTTCAGTGAGTGGAGAAAACACGGAACAGGTTTGCAGCTGACATAAGAAAAAAACAAACATTTATTTAACTTCTTTAGCTTATGGCTTTCTGTTGCATCATATCCAGTGAAAGTGTGAATATACGTGTAAACAGAATGAGGTGTTGCAGCTGAATAACCTGTGCCACTGTAAATTTGTTTCACTAATTTGCTTTGAAAACTTTTTTTTTTTCCTAAACCAGCCTTCTTATTTGCAGTGTTTTATGTTGGCTGGAATCCAGATGTTTAGAGCAGGAGACTCATCCACCCTGAAAAAAGCGTGTTCGTTGGTATTTGATAAACTGGTGGATAATTTTTCTAGAGGTTAGGTGTCTGGTTGATCAGCGTTACCTTTGTGCATCTCTTGCACAGGTGGCTGTATTGACCAACAGCCTCGACGTGCATGAAAAGTAATCACACCATAACTCTGCCGTCCCCTATTCTCCTTGCCTCCCTCCTCCAGGGTTCCTGCACACCACTGATGGTGGCCACCTTGCACCCACCCCCAACAGGCATTGCCCCCCAGTACTCCCTGCCCCTCGGGCTGGGCACTGGTGTGGGTCGGCCCACCCTCCTGGAGCACACAGCCACTGTGCTGGTAAAGCAATGACGACATCTTGTGAAGAAAGACCTCTCCCTCTTCCACTAACAATGCCATCTCTTTCCCTCACCACTCCTTTGTCTTTTCATTTGTTTGCAAGTTTCCTATTCTTTCTGTGTAACATGTCTTGTGGGACTAGTTTTTATTTCATACTTCAAAGTTCCACGTTTTTACACGTGGACTTGTCACGGTTGTCAAAACCTAGTTTATCCATACAGTAGTCCCTCGTTTATCGCAGGGGATCCGTACCCTGAAGCCCCGCGATGAGTGAAAAACCGCAAAGTAGGAATAGTAGTACAAGTAGTAAGTACAGCTGCACACTCGGCCACGCCCACTTCTCCACTCTGCACTGAGATCAGCTGTTCAGCTGCAGGAGGAAACCTCTCCCACATCTGTGAGCTGCCCACAGGTGCTAAATCGTTTAAAATTATTAGTTTTAAATAAAATTCCACGCCGATCGTGCGGCTCATCCATCAAGCAGCCAATTGTGTCATGTCCAATCTTACTTTGAGAAACGGCGACGAGTCGGCAAAACATGAACCGTAAAGTAGCAAAGGACTACTGTACACATTTTTATAGGTAAATTTATTTTTATTAATCTGGCGTCATGTTTAACATTTACATTAATCTTTGTTCCTCCCTGGTTTGACATTAGATCAGTATAAAATTCTACATTCTCTTCCTGCTCCAAAGAGACAACAAATCATTCTCTCATATCATTCACACCTTTTCATTCCTCAGTTCCCCCATGCATAGGTGTACTCGGGGCATGGAGCCGCATGTGTTGCCGAGTTGGTCTGCGCTTTGCTTGCAGCTTCGTTTGTCCTGTTCTCCCATGATATCAGCCATGGAGGCAGCAGCTACATCATCTACTAAAAGCTGTCCCCAACCTTCTGCCTGACTCTGACACACGTCTTCTCTTTCAGCCCCAGAACTTGTGGCATGCCTTTTCCCCAAGCAGACCGTTTGGCATCAGGGAACTAAACTGATCTGTTTCTTCTTTAACAGGCACCATGGTTCTGCGTGTACTTCTTTATACCTGATCTGTTTACAGCCTGTTGTTGTTTATGCTTTGCATGGTATCATCTTGTGGATTTGTTGCAGGCCAATGCTATGATTTGAGGAATGGCTTAGAAATGGTTGCTCACTCTTCTAGCTTTATGCTTCTGCTTCTGTAGGAAACTGGTGACTGGCTTGTCTCTTTGTATTCAGTTTTTAGATTCATTTCTTGGCATGGCTTAATTAGTGTGATCCTTACCAGCAATCATTGTTGTTGTTTTTACTTGGTTCATACAAATATAAATATACATTACATCTATTCAGGTGGGTTGTTTTTCTCAGCAGGCCTGGCCAACTGGTACCCAGCAAATCCTCATCCCGTCATCGTGGCAGCAGGTCCCAGGTGTGGCCATCCACAGCTCTGCCCATCAGTCAAATGTCACGGAGTCCCCACTGGAGACCGTCCACTCAGAAGCAGCTGTGCAGCAAGGACACAGCTGGCGGTGGGTTTATTAACAGTTTATAGTTGAAACGCATGTACAAACTTTCAGTCCTGAAGTTGTGCCATTAATTTCCTTTTGTTTTTAGTTTCTCTTGTTCCACAAGCACAACATTTAAACATGCCTTTTATAATTCCGTTTTAACTGTGTTCAGTTCGAGTTCTATTTATTCTGAAGTTTCTCAAAGATCATTTATCATTTTGATTTAGAACTTTATCAACATAATCACCTGCGGGTAGTTTTCTACTAAATGAATTAATTGTGCATAATTTAATAAGGAATTCTATTTGCTTTGTTGCTTTACATATTCCATATGCTTGAATTGAACTGAATTTAGTTTGTAGTTCTGTGAGTTGAAAGGTGAGGGAGATTACTGTGCGGGGGGGGGGGGGGGGGGGGAGGATGAAGCTGTAAAACCTAAAGTACATACAATTTTTACACACTTTTAATGTTATTACTATCAAGATGTGCAAATCTCTACTGCATCAGAGTTGTAGTTGTCTTTATTATTGTATTTTTGTGTTTGTGTACAGTACTTACTTTCTTCTTCTTTTTTAATCTGACAGGAATGTGAGTCAAGCCAGGACACAGCAAGAGAGAAAGAAAGTAAAAACCAGATGTGCAGAAAACAGAAACAGGTTTGTAAAACCCTGAAGCGTTTCCTAGTCGGTCACTAACAAAGGTTATTACCAGGTCCTGCTTTACCTGGGCCAGCTAAACTCTTATTTGACATGGTAAAAACAAATTTGATACCTTGATTAATGAATTCCTTTCTCATTAAAATTTGTTGTTAACCATCTACCTTCACCTATTAACCAGCCTTACATGATGCTGTGTGTACGTTTTATGGATTAATCCGTTTTTCATTCTTTTCATACAACAGTCTCAGATACTTGGTGCCAGGGCAGAAAGAACAATCTGGATAAAAGTCTTAAAATGGTCTCAACAATCACAAGTTTCCCTGGTTTTGACAAGATCAGCAGACTGAAACATTCATGTAGTTTCAGAAGAAAATGAGCACAATTTAGATTGATCTTAATGACCATGAATTCGTGGTTTATCGGCTAAATAAATAAAATGTACGTCATCGTAGCATCAGAAAACGAAACAAAAAATTAGGTCTCACGGCACAAAAATGTCTTTAACCTTAAACATCTGGTGCCACAATTTTTAACATGAATGTAGACACTTAAAATAATAAAACGGTAGCATCAAATGGTCTGAGTGCTGAAAATGATGAGTGGGTGTGTTGGCACGTGTGATATTTTTATAAGGGTACTTGAATGAATCATTACAGCAATGATGTATTTTTTTATTTTACCTGATTACATTTTAGTGATTGCTCTAAATTACATTAGATTTTATATTTTGAACCTTGTTTAGCATTTTGTAAGAGCAGGTTTGACTTCATGGCAAGTAAAACTGATCAGTTATTGATCCAAAAACAAAACGACTGAAGTTTCCAAAGGCTAAAAATGGTTTGACAGATTATGTTTGCCCTTGTATCATCGTGTTAAAATGGACCTGCTTTAAGAGAAACACACTGAATATTTGTTTTTGCTTTCTCTGTAGGGGTGCATCTTTACTCGGCAGCAGTGTTGTGACGGCGTCCACCTCCGCTGTCATATTGTCTCAGCCAATCATCATCTCCGACACGCCCAGCCCAGCCATCAGCATCATCACTATTCACAGCGACACTGACACAGAGGACGAACGCAAGTTCCACCCAGCCAGGTGAGTGCAAAGTTATTCTGATGATCGCCTCACGTTCGTTTGCATGACGCTGGAAGTAACACTCGTCCTTTGACAGCGTTGGCCTGAGCCGCTCCGAGCGCACGGTCATCAGCTGTGTAACCGTGCACGACTCGGACTCCTCTACAGCCAGCCCCCTGACCCCGCTTCCCCGCACCCTGAACACGGCGAGCTCCGTCTCTTCACGGCAGGCCAAGTCTCTGGCAGCGGTGGCACCTTCGGTTAAGAAGCAGCCATCAGAGAGGGGGGCGGTGTCACACAGTCGCCTGGAGACTGGTGAGTGTTGGCGCCATTAATGCTTTTTAAAGATGAACGTTATTGGGCATTAAAGCAGCGTGGTTTAATACTTCCTTTGACCTGCAGTGAACTGCATAAAACCTAAGCGATCGTCCATCCGGCAGCCCTGCAGTTCAGGGGAGAGCATGGATCGAAATAGGCTGGTGCCGAGCCAGTCCCACCCCTTGAACCTGAGCCAGGTGAGGCTTGATTCATCAACACTTTGAAACAGTATGGATAAAATCTTTCATTTACAAGACGTGAACAGATCTATTGAAACGCAGAGCTTTAAAAGTCATCAGTGTCTTTTCAAAGTGCCAGTCACTGCTGTGATGGCACACTTTTGTTTTTTATTTAACAGCTGAGTCGCTGCAGGTTGGATTCAAAACTACTGTCTGCTGATTTTGAAAAGGATGCTTTCAAAGAATTTAAAAAAAAAAAAAAGCAGTTTTAAAATTTAAAACCCCTTTTTTTTAGAGATTTTTGTACAAGATCTCAAGTTTGCTCTTAATATATCAAAACTTTACATAAAACCTGAATAAACAATCAGCTTATTGCTGAGTTTACAGTGGACGAGTAGAATAGCAGTTAAGATGTATAAAATGATCTCCAACATGGTTCCTGTGTTTATGAGCTCCAGAGTTGATTGTTCTCCCTTCTGTTGTCTTGGATTAATAAATTAGACACATTTTTATTCACCTGTCGAAGGCGGACGTACGTATTCAGGTATAGCCGCAGTCTGTCCGGAAAACTTTCTCTTGTCCCACACATGACTTCTGATCTGCTAGATAATTTAACAAAACTAAATATGTGCCACCATTAGACGGCGTGTCATGTAATCTTTTAATCACCCCAGCTCTAAGGTGAAGGTCACAACTCAAGGTCAAATTATAAAAGGTCTTGGCTTGTCCAGGCCATTGCTTCAGATTGTTGTGTAATAATTTGTTGACGGGCGTATAATGTGCGCTACTCTTGTTCCCTGCATGGGACGAGGTTATAACAACATAATCTTCTCGCCCATGGATGAGAAAACACATTAAAGAAAATATAAATGTCCTCACGAAGAATTAAAACTAACTATACTTTGACATTGATTGAGACTTTAAAATCAATATGCAGTTAAACTATTATGCTGACGTTTGTTAAATGTTTCCCTTTAGGTGCAGTCGGTGGTTTCTTCATCTCAGGAGCGTTCCGGGGTGCCCCACAGCAACTTGTCCCTCCACCGTCAGGAGACTTTCCCTCCGACTGTCTCTGCCTCCCACTACAGCTTCCCTGACGTGTCCGCCTTAGCGTCAGGCTCAGCTGCCGCCACCAGCCTGTACACCTACCCCGCCTCCACAGCCCTCTCCTCGGCCTCTCAAGCCATGGAGCAGCTGCTGGCTCGTGGTCACGGCAGCCACGGACACTCCCCCTCCACCTATGCAGCAACGTACACCTCATCCTCCTCCAGGAGAGACTCGGCCAGTCGCAAGGAGTCTGTCAGCAGCCTGCTGCACGGCCTCCCTGCATCATACCAGCATCAGTTCGCCGCTGGTTCTCCGTACGTCAGTGTGACGCCCCGCGGTGAGGCATACACTGCTTACCAGCTCAGCCCTAGGCGCCTCACACAGTACCCCTACCTATAGGGGGTCCCATCAACTTTACTTCCCTGAACATACCATCACAAAGGGACAACTTTAGAATTACTCATGGTCACCTACTAGTTTGCTGCTTCAAACTACAAGGAAGCATTTCAGCCCTAGCTAATATATACGCTCTTTTAGAAAAAAGACTTTTGGTATTATTGCATCCTAATCTTTTTTCCATTAAACAACATATTTTATCCCCAACCTGTTTTTATTAAATTAAGGCATTGTGTTAACCATATGTTAAACGTGTGTTTATCGAAGTTTTGTGCAGAGAGAGACGATCCTCCTTTCACAATCCCCGCTCCTTAATTTTCCCACAAGCCTTACATTAAAGTCTCCACACACTAATCTGTTGCGGCCCCGTGTCATTAGTGAACATCAAGACTTGCATCAAGGCTTAGTACCTCTGTTTGTTGACTCATGTCTTTCACTGTTTAAATGATGTCGGTGTGAAAAGTCGAGGATTATGTATTGAGACGAGATGAGGTGAAAACTGTGATGGATAATGTTTAGACTAGGTACACATTGTGTTTGTATGTTTCTGTAGTGACTGTGTTTTAGGCACGATTCATCTTGTTCGTGTGCAAATGGATTTAAAGCTTCGTAACCGAGTGCTAAATGTACTGATGGAAGTTCATAGTGTGATCACCTTCTCCAGGAATGATGGGAAACTTTTTATTTGTTCAAAAAACGCTTCAGCTCTTTTTCTTCTGGCCTCCTTAAGATGTATTTTCATCTGCATCTAACCATGTTTTCTGTCTAAACCTGTGAATCCAACTGTAGGACCTACTAAAGCTAAAGTGAGTTAAAGCCGGTTGTTTTCACTTGTAAAATGTTAAGAAGCTGTAACAAACTGTGCTGCACAAAAACTAATTTATACAAACATTTGCAAATTGTCTGGTTCTTGATGATTTATTTCACGTTATTCAGACTTTTATTCAAACACGCATTCCTCTGTCCTGCCAAGAGTATTTATCTGCAGGTTCCTTTCAGGAGGTAGGACTGAGACTTGAGTGACATACCCCCCAACACCCAGCATGTCTCTTTTAAGATGCAAGACGTCTGAATATTGTGTGAGTGTGAAAGTGAGTGTGTTTATCTACCTTGTGTTATTGCATCAGTTTTGTGTTGTAATGTCCAAAAATTTACCTGTATTTTATCAAAACAGTATAGTCAGAGAGGCAGTTTGTTAAACTTATTTCAGGCAAAAGGGTTTCAGTAATCTTGTCACAGTTTCCAATAAAATGATAATCTCACAGCGACTTGATTTTTTTTTTTCCTCCCAGAAATTTCAACTTCCTGTTTGAAAAAAGCATCCCTTTGGTTTTATTGGCATTTAGTTCAAGTTTGAGGTGGAACAAATCTGTCTGGATGATGTTGAATGCAGATTTCAAAAGCTGGAAAGCCTTAGCAACAGTTTTAGCTCGTCAATAAACGACTGTGTCATCAGCATAGAAATGTATGGATGCATCAGGGATGTTTTGACCTACATTATGTATGTAGATTGTAAAGAGGGTGGGTCCTAAGACCGAGCCTTGTGGTACACCATTGTTGACTGATAAATAACTGGAGGAAGTACCATTATGTTGAACACATTGCCTCTGGTCTGAAAGATAGAGAACCAACCAATGGTGTGATCTGAGAAACCAATTTCTGAGAGTTTATGACACAAGATGTTCTGATCCACAGTGTCAAAAGCTTTAGACAGGTCTAAGAAAAGTGCAGCACAATAATCCTTAGCATCCAGTGCTTCAACAACATCATTAAGAACCTTCAGTGAAGCAGTGGTTGTGCTGTGTTGTTTCCTGAAACCAGATTGATGTGGAGGTAAGATGTTAAATGAGTCCAGGTAATTTTTGATTTGAGAGTTTATCAGTTTTTCTAGAACCTTGGCTAAAATGCAGAGTTTAGAGATTGGTCCATGGTTGTTCAGTGATGTGGGGTCACCTCCCTTCAGCAAAGGAAGAACAAAGGCGGTTTTCCAAGTGTCTGGGATGGAGTTTTGTTTTATGGAGAGATTGAAGATGTGGGTCACAGGGACTGTGATGATATGAGCAGCCAGCCTTAAGAAATAAGGTGGAAGTTCATCTGGACCTGCAGATTTTTTGGGATCAAGATCTTTTAACAGTTTATTGACCTCACTGACTGAGAATGGAGAAAAAGAGAAGCTGTGTTTAACTGAGGATTGACTTGTAGGAGGGATTTGATTTGTAGAAGTTTGATTATTAAGTGAAGTGGCTGATTTTCCATTAGTAACTGTGTCAAAGAACTAGAAACAGCAAAATGTTTGTTGAAACAGTTCATTTAGATTCGGGACCAAAATATTAAGGAAAAACCAGTTTTATTGTTGTTTTTAGACCATGTAAAGGAGCGTGTTGAACTCGGCAACCAGGGCTTGTTAAAGGCTAATTAATGGACGAGGCTGGAACGGTTTAATTAGCTGCTAGAAACGCAACGGCTGAACGCAGGAAACTGACCCTGGCAGTGTGCGTTTGTTTAATCTCTCAACCTTTTTGATGCTTTATTGCTTTTAAAACCATTTGTAAATGAGCTCGTTCTGCGTTGTTTGTATTTTGGTAGATAAGTAGATTTTTAAATAGGCTCAAGTTGGTCAAAACATTTTTTTTATTTTCTGATTTATTCTAGAGAGGATAAGAGCTGAGTCCTGACAGCACAGGAGGATCCTGCCTGCTAACATCTTTATGATGGACACACAAAATACCAACGCAAACGAGCATGAATTACATGCAAGTTGATTTATAACCCTTATGTTGGTTTGTTGATTAACCTACAGTTTAAGGTTCTTTATTGTCATTTGCATCACATGTGGTACATGAGGTGGAACAAAATTGTGTACACAAGATCCAAGTTACACCCCAAAATAGCAAAAAATATAAAGAAACAGTATACAAGGATCTAAGAGATTTGCTAAACTATAATTATTATACCCATCCATCCATTATCTTTTACCCGCTTCTCCCATTTTGGGTCACAAGGGTCGCCGGTGCCCATGTCCAGCAATCACTGTGCGAGGGGCGGGGTACACCCTGGACGGGTCGCAAGTCCATCACAGGGACACATAGAGACAAACGAGACAAACAACCCTCTCACTCACACCTAGGGACAATTTAGAGTTACCAATCACCCTAACATGCACGTGAAACCGGAGTACCCGGAGAAAACCCACGCATGCACGGAGAGAACATGCAAACTCCACCCAGAAAGCACCCGGACTGGGATTTGGACCAGGGACCTGCTCGCCGAGAGGCAGCAGCTCTACCAGTTGCGCCACCGTGCTGCCCATAACTATATTGATTTTGATATTAAATATAATGCAAAAAAAGGAGTAACCTCATGATTGTCAGGAGCAAAGAGGACACTAAATTATCTTTCCCTGACTTCACTCTGTCTGGCAGCATCCTTCAAGTCAGGGATGAGGTGAAATACTTGGGACATTACACAACCTCTGACCTGTCTGATGATAAGGACATTTACAGGCAGCATTGTATGAAATATGTACAAGCTAATGTGCTTCTTCAGAAGTTCTCTATGTGCTCAGTATCTGAAAAAACTGCACTCTTTAAAGCATATTGCACTCCAATGTATACTGCCCACTTGTGGCGGCATTACAGAAAAAGCAGTAAGCCTACTTCAGGTGGCGTATAATGATGGCATGAGGATGCTGCTTAAAGTGCTGCGATGGAGTAGTGCCAGTCAGATGTTTGTAAATGCCAACATACCAACTTGTGCTGCTGTGCTTCAAAACCTTTTGTACAGATGTGTAGGTTAACAGACTCTTCAAACAGCATCATTTATACTCTGATCAACCCCATACAAAGCTCAGTTAGGTTCTTTTCTAGTCTGTGGAATCACTGGCGCCTTAAGTTATATAGCAATGGATGAACATTTTATTTTTATTTTATTTTTATAAAACAGATCAGCAGCAACATGATGTGATTTTTCACAGTGATTATTCTGGTTAGAGACACATGAGTCTAACAGCCTCAGGGTAGAAGCTGTTCTTCAGTCTAGTGGTTCTACACTTAATACTCCTCAACTTCCTTCCTGAGGGGAGCGGGGCAAAAAGTGTGTGTGCTGGGTGAGTGGGGTCCTTCGTGATGCAGGTGGCTCTCTTCCTACATCTGGAGGTGTAGATGTCTGTGATGGTGGGGAGACTGACTCCAACATCTTCTGTGCAGCCTTCACCACTCTCTGCAGAGCTTTTCTTTCTGCAGCTGTGCAGCCTCCATGCCACACGTTGATGCTGGAGCACAGGATGTTCTCCACTGCACACCTGTTGAAGGGAGTTTCTTCAGTTCATGTTATTTTAAACTAATAATTTTTTACATGCCTAGTTTCCTTCAGGCCAACTATAAGATGGCAAGAGAAGAGTGGAAGAAGCTGCTTACCTCTGCACACAAGTACACGATTGACATCCTGGGCCTCAGACCATCTTTGGAACCAGCAACAGTGGAAGAATTTATTTTAGATTCTCCATCGTAAGTTCTTCTCTCAGTCTGGAAGCACAAAGATAACCAACAAAGTCCATGCTCAATATTCCAGGTATACAATCCAACAATTTTCAGTCAGGTCATCTGGACAGTTTCTTCTTTTTTTGTGCTGAAACATTTCACCTTCCACCCAGAAGGCTTCATCAGTCAAGGAAACAAAACTGATTCTTCCCCCAACAGCTTACTCCAAAGTGGAACAAACCAGTTCTGTTGGTGCCAAGATGGTCTCTTTAGGGGTTGTGCCAAAGAGACCATTAACTTCACTGATTAACTTCATAAATAATGGAACAGGGACAAGATATAATATTACAAAGAACACAGAAACAGCAATAGATTTAACAATTAAATAAAATAACATTGCAGGAATTACACAGTGGGAAGTAATAAACAAAACATCACTTAGCAGTGACCATTATCCAATAATAATTAAAATAGGAATAGATGTTATTAAAGGAAAAACATTTAGAGTATCTAGGTGGCAATTTAATAAAGCAAACTGGATAAATGTTCAAAATATGACTGAAGTCAAATGTAGAGAAATGATTAAAGAAAATATTAACGATATTGAAGAATTTAATGAAAAATTAACAACAATAATTATACAGACTGCAAATAAAACAATTCCTCAGAAAAGCTCAAGCTAATAAAGAATCAGTTATTGCAGTCTCTTTTGATATAGAAAAAGCTTATGATACACTTTGGAAAGAAGGTTTATTAATAAAACTAGAAACACTTGGGGTGAAAGGAAAGATATTTAACTGGATAAGAAATTTCTTATTTAAAAAGAACAATAGAAGTGCGAGTGGGAAAGGAATTCTCAAATAAATATATTGTGGAGAATGGTGCCCCTCAAGGGAGTGTGTGTAGCCCACTACTGTTCTTAATAATGATCAATGATACATTTGATAAAATAGATCCTGGAATAAGTAAATCTTTAGTTGTGGCTGATGGAGCTTTGTGGATTCGAGGTCGCAATCTAAAACATATTAGGAATGAAATGCAAAAGGCAATTAATGAAGTTGAAGTATGGGCCAATAAACGGGGTTTTAAGTTTTCAAGTACAAAATCTCAGGTTACCTGCTTTTCTAAAAAACATAAAACTATTTCTTTAAAACGATATGATCAAAACTTTGAACAGGTCAAAGATAAAATTTCTAGATATGATTTTTGATGAAATACTTATTTGGAACATATTGATAAAGTTAGAATAAAATGTAAAAATGTTAATAATATACTATGCTGTTTGGCAGGAAGGGACTGGGGAGGAACTAGGAAATCTTTATATTATATTATATTATATTATGAGATCAACAATGGATTATGGCAGCATCAGTTATTTGGCAGCAGCAGAAACCAATTGAAAGTTTCTTGATATAGAACAATCAAAAGCACTCAGAATATGCAGTGGAGCTTTTAGAACGTCACCAATTGCAGCTTTACAGGTAGAAATGGGGGAAATACCTTTAAGACTCAGAAGATTAAAGCAAATGTTGGTATATTGGGTTACTGTTAAAGAACATAGTCAATCTCATCCTATTCATAAAATATTACAAGAATGTTGGGAGCATCAAAAAACATATCTATAGTTTTGGCTGGATAGGGAATATAAAAGCAGAGTATGCAGGATTACATGAATTAAACATATGTCCAACAGTTGTTCTTCCTAACATTCCACATTGGCTATTTACTAACCCCTCTGTTGATCTATCTTTACACCAATTAATTAAAAAATAAAGGAAGGCATA